CCATATCTTCCCCAGACAAACTTAGAGATCACACAGCGGTACATTGATCATGTCTGACCCGAAGTTTAGACCCTGTGATGAAGCCTCAGAGGAATCTGAGAATCCTCAGGTCTAGCTTTCATCAGGAAGCTTAGTTTTGGAGTTTCTCTGAGCATCCTGGACCAGATATTTCTGAGTATTACAGACTGGAATGTGTAATTTTACGATTTTCACAAGCTTCATTCCGACCTTTTTCTTATTATTTTCCCCACACCCCCTGTTTAAACTTGTAATGAATCTGGAAGGAATCAGAAACTTTAAAAAAAAAAAAGGTTCCTTTTTTGCCTTTTTTTTTTTCTCCTGCCAAGGGTACCCTGCAGCTGTACTTTCTGTTGTTGAAAAGGGGAACGCCCTAGTTAATAATAATAATAAAAATGTCCAAAGCTGTGAGCCCAGCAACAGTGAGATCTTTGAGTATAAGGTCTGGTGGGGAGAAGGAAGATCGGAAGGAAGGAATCAAGGTAGCAGGTGTAGAAATGAGCTGACAGTGGCTCTGTCAAGAGTCCAAAAACCCTAGCTAGCTGAAAGGTGGAAAAATAAATAAATAAATAAATAAATAAATAAATACTGCAAAACATCTGGATGTCTTCAAACATCTGGATGGTTGGCACCGTGTGCACAGGACACCTGCAAAAGTGACTGCAGTTTTCTTGGGGTTGGTGTTTTGATTTATTTTTTTGGTATGAATGTTTGGGTACCCCATAGGGTTCCCAGATGTGTTGCAGAATGTCCAGTTAAAAACAAATGTGCATGTTGTTAGCCAGGTACAACCCACGCTATATGGGAAGGCATCTGAGCTGCCCACTAGTGTCACCTGGGGAGCATGGCTATCTGCGTCACTGTGTGGCGGAAGCCAGGTCTACACTTATCTATCCAGTTAAGGGTCTGCTTTATTAACCAATCCAAAGTCTTCACTGATGTGTGAATGCTTACTCAAAGCCATACGTTCCAGTACTTTCTCGGAGTGATAAGATACTTAGCTTTCTTCATGTGCCGCCCCCAATTGGATGGAGTGGGGCTAGAGGGACATGCATCTGCCTGGCTCACAGCTCCATCCAAAGCACCTGGCACCCTGCCTGGCACTCGACAGATCTCAGGGAATATGGGTAGGGTAGCCAGTGGGGACATTGGCCATTGGAAAGCTGGCACCATAGGCTCAGGAAGTCAGCTCCCACTGGCTTCCTGTCCCTGTCACTCCTCTGAGGTTAACTGCCTGCTTCTGAGAAACAGGAGCAGGGACAGACACTTTGAGGGGTTACTGTAAGATAAAGTAGGGGTCACATCACAAGTGTTTATTAAGTGGTCCATTTCTCACGTTTGGTCCACTGTCAAGTTTCATGACTCCTGATCATCCTTGCAAGATGCATGGGAAAGACAACTTCCTTCTTATTTTTACTCTTCTAAGACAGCCATAGTTTCCTTCCATCCCCACCCTTCCTCTTCCCTTTCCCCTTCTCCTTCCTCGTTCCTTCCCTCTGTCTCCTTCCTATCCTCCCTCCCTCCTTCCTCCTCTTTCTCCCTCCCTTCTTCCTTCCCTCCTTCCTTCTCTCCCTCCTTCCCCCTCCCTCCTTCCTCCTCTTCCTCCCTCTCTTCTTTCCTCCTTCCTTCCTTCCTTCCCTCCTTCCCTCCCTCCTCCTGTTCCTCCCTCCCTTTCTCCTTTCCTTCTCACTCCTTTTCTCCTTCCCTCTCTCTCTCCCCCTCCCTTCTCTCCTCCTCCCTTCTTTTTAGGTCTTCTACAGTTGCCTTTCACTGAGCCCAGACAAGCACCCAGCCTACACTCGAGCCTGCACCTTCACATCAAGCCATAAGACACATCCCACCCTGAGCTTGAATTACAGTCTCATTTAAAACAGAGAAGATAGACATTAAATATGAGCCCATATTCACACAGACAAAAAAGTTCCCAACTCCCAAAGGTGAGCTGTGCCCCTGGTGTCTGACCCTGAAGGCTGTGGGGTGAAAGCTATCTCCACCCTGGTGGACCTCACAGCAGCCATCTCTTCACATCCTTCAGGGACTCAGTATCCACAGTGACTACATGCCACCTATTTGGGATAGCTGCAGCCTGCTGAGTGCTGATGGGCATCAGGTGCTCTGAGACACCTGTCTCCATTTACAAAGTGAGAACCCCAGGGTAGATAAGCACTCAGGAGGAGGCTAAGGCAGGAGGATTGAAAGATGTAGGCCAGCCTGGGCTATAGATGGAGACCTGGTGTCACAACACAAAGACACAAACCAATGTTCAGATAAGCTGAACTCAGCCACACTGTCCATGTTAACTATGGTGGTTCTGACTCCCAAAGGGGCTGGCGGACGTTTCTTTTCCTTGCACAGTTCCTTTGACTCCTCCTCACCTTTTTTCCCCTTTTCTTCTCATTTCTACACACACACACACACACACACACAATCTAGAGTGTATTCCCAGATGCAAATGTAATTTCTCTACATGAGTTGACTAGAAAGGTGAAAAGATGACCTCCAATCCCCGGGGAGGTCAAACTCCCCGTGAGGAATGGGTGTGTTTGAGATGACACTGCCTTGGCAGATATATCCAACTGTAGCCTCTCTGAAGGAAGCAGCTGGTGGCAGTTAGAGACTAGGTCTTCCAAGAGAACGATGTTCTATGTTGTCCTGGCAACGAGGGATGTTCTGAAGGTTATCAGAGGACTTTGAACACCAATCCTTCTTTTTCTTCTGTTTTTTGTTGAGAGATTTACATGCATACATATGACGTGTCTCGATAAATCTACTCCCTGATTCTCTCCTTAATTTAATTTTTATCACAGAATGGCGTCCACAATGCTGACATGTATCCGTGGCTATGACTTGGGAGGGTGGATTCCCCACAGGCAACACACTAACAGAAGAAACAGATTCTTGTCCAAGTGTCTCCATGGCTCTTAGCCTGGGTGCTGGATATTAGGAAGATTTTGGCCCCTCTTAAAGTGGTAGAAAACTGTGTGTACATACTTTTCAAAACATCCCATTTCAGGGAATTCGTCTAGGAAATGGCCTACCCCAGCACCCAGTGATTAGCTTCCAAGAGGGCCGATGGCCCCAGAGTGCCTGAGGGAGACTCTTCTGGACATGAAGTTATCTCTATTTCCCTGTACTAGGACTATGATTGGGGAGAAGGGGGCGTGGTCCAATTCACAGCAAACAGTGACACGGGTCAGTATTGACACAACAGCTAGTGAAGGGGATTTGCTCCAAATTCCCTCCGTTCACCCATTCATCCATCATTCACCCAGTCTACAGCCATCCATCCATCTTGCTGTCCATCCATGTCACCTCTCCACCCACTCATTACCTAACTATCATCCATGTACCCATCCAGCATTCACCCACCCCTTCATCCAGCTATACAGTCAGCTGTTTACCCACCCATCCATTCATGTGTTTATCCATCTATCCATCTACTCATTCATGTATCCATCTATGCATTTATTCATCTATCCATCATTTATCCAGCCAGTCATCCACCCATCCATCTATCTGTCCCTCTATCCATCCATCCACTCATCCATCCATATATCCATCCACTCATCCATCCATACATCCATCCACTCATCCATCCATCCATCAATCTATCCATCTGTCCATCCATCCATCCACCTATCCATCCATCCGTCCATCCATCCATCCACCCATCCATCCATCCATCCACTCATCCATCCATCCATCCATCCATCCATCCATCCACTCATCTGTCCATCCATCCATCCACTCATCCATCCATCCATCCATCCATCTATCCATCCATCCATCCACCTATCCATCCATACATCCATCCACTCATCCATCCACTCATCCATCCATCCATCCATCCACTCATCCATCCATCCATCCATCCATCCATCCACCCATCCACCCATCCGTCCGTCCTTCCATCTACCCACCCATCCATCCATCCATCCACCCACTCATCCACCTGTCCATCATTTATCTACCTACCTAGAGCTACCATCCCTCCACCCACTAACCCACGTAGCCATCCACCATTCACCTACCCACCCACTCCATGGGTGTTTAATGTTTGCTTCCTGTATTGTGACGTTTGATGAGCAGACACTTCATCAAACAGATCAGCAGCCACAGATCAACCATTATCAGCCACTGTGGGAGCCCCTGGGCAAGCTTCTTAACCTCCATGTCCCTTTCCTCTTGTGGATAAAACGGGACTAATCTACTTCCAAGAGTTGCTATGAGGACTGAATGGGTCATCTTGTGGGAAGCGGTTAGAACACAGCCAGGCATCACCAGTACTATGTGTTTTTTCACTGTTGTTGCTGGTCCTACTGTTATCTATCTTACTGATGCCTAAACGCCAGGTTTCAGATGATAGACGGATGGATGAGGTAATGCACTACCAATCACTATCATTAATAATAAGGCTGGAATGTAGTCGGTTGGTAGAGTGCTTGCCTAGTATAGCCACAAGTCCTGGATTCAATTCCCAGAACCACATAAAACCAGGTATAGTGGTAAGTCCTTGTAATCCTGGCTCAGGGGGAAGAGGAAGCAGGAGGTGGAGACATTAAAGGTCCTCCTCAGCTACATAAGAACGTTAAAGCTAGCTTGAGCTACACGAGAACATGTTGTTGATGATTGTGGTGGTGGTGATGGTGATGATGATAAGGTGTTTTATAGGATTATTTTTTTTTTGGTACCAGACTCTGAATCCATTGATTATTGGACATCTTTTCCCATTAAATTTTCAATGTCCCCCCTCTGTAGGAAGTGCTGCAGAGGACTTTGTTACACTTCATAGATGTGGAAACTGAATTGATCCAAGGTCAAGATTTTGGCTTAAAACTCACAGCCCAAGGTTGTGCCCATGAGACGTTTTGTTTTGTCAGAATGGAGGTTGGAGCGGACAGCCTCTAGTCTCAGGTTTAGTGGCTGTCTTCTGGTCCTATCTGTGGTGTGGGGGGACTAATTTCCTTCCCATCTTTACAGATGAAGAATGTTCCAGCACCGAGCACCCCTATAAAAAGCCGTACATGGAGACATCCCCCAGTGAGGAGGACGCCTTCTACCGCTCGGGCTACCCTCAGCAACAGGGTCTGAGTACCTCGTACAGGACAGAGTCAGCCCAGCGGCAGGCCTGCATGTATGCCAGCTCCGCTCCACCCAGCGAGTCCGTGCCTAGCCTGGAGGACATCAGCTGTAACACATGGCCCAGCATGCCTTCATACAGCAGCTGTACGGTCACCACCGTGCAGCCCATGGACCGGCTCCCCTACCAGCACTTCTCCGCTCATTTCACCTCGGGGCCTCTGGTCCCTCGGCTGGCTGGCATGGCCAACCATGGTTCTCCCCAGCTCGGCGAAGGGATGTTTCAGCACCAGACCTCCGTGGCCCATCAGCCTGTGGTCAGGCAATGCGGGCCTCAGACTGGCCTTCAGTCTCCAGGCGGCCTCCAGCCCCCCGAGTTCCTCTACACTCACGGCGTGCCCAGGACCCTGTCCCCCCACCAGTATCACTCGGTACACGGCGTTGGCATGGTGCCAGAGTGGAGTGAGAATAGCTAAAGGCTGACCTATGCCAGAGAGGGGATGGGGGGGAGAGAAAGAGAGAGAGAAACAGGAGAGGACAGAGAAGTGAGGGACAGTAGCGATGAGAACTCCGCAGATGCGAAACTCATATCACCAGTTGTAACCTCCGTACCCGGAGCCCCACAGCCACTGATGAGATCAGTTGCCCGAAGCCACCATTCCAAAATTGTGACTCGGCCTCTCAGAACCGACAGGACAGAAGAAAGAGAGACGAGTCCCATCCTGCCCCGCACCCACTCTCATCCAACCAGGAACACACACAGCGCCCCAGACATGTTCCCCGATTGTTTCTCTTGGGTTCTAGACCATATTGCCTCACTGAGTGTTGGACCCCGGCCGCACGGTGAGAGGCATTCTGTGTCTCGGTGTTAATGTTGACTTTGTTATATAATAAATGATAATATATTTTTTTTCTTTGAAATTTTCTTACTGGGACCCAGTCCCCTTGAATGGAGGGAGAGGAGAGACAAGAAATGTCTCAAAACACGTACTTTTGGGGCTTCCCTCCAATAAACGAGCTAAAATGTACATCGGCTACCCTCCTCTAACCAAAAAAAAAAAAAACCCAAAAAACAAAAAAACCTACCTCCGTCACGTGAGATGTCTACGAAGGTCGCAGTGTTACCTGCTAGTTTTTGGATTGGGTTTTGCTTTTTCTCCTTTTGGTTTGGTTCTGCCTTCCCCAGCGTCATGGATTCAGAGTTGCCTTCTACTGAGAGGATAGAGTTAGGATGTCGGGCTCAGTCTGACATCCTGCCTCCTCAGCACCGTTTCTCCCAGCTCCAGGTCTCTCCAGCCATCTGTGGCTACAAAACAGGGCCTAGAACTCCTCAGCCGGAAACCTTGCTTCGATAAAACTGAAAGAGCCCTGGGTGACATGGGAACAGAACTGTGCATCAGTGCAGGGACGCGCGCAAGCTCCCCGGTTACACATTGTAGGGGAGAAAAAGAAAGTGAAAATAAATATACTTTGTGATTAAAAAGAAAAAAAGAACAGTGACGTCAGCGTCAGCCCCAGGCTGGCTCAAACCTCCTCTGTGACCTCCGGATGCAGAGCAAAATAGCTCCAGGTGCCACAGGAGAGGAAACAGTTACCGGTGTCTCAGCCTCCAAGAAATCCTCCCGCAGCGCCAATCACCTGGGACACAAAACCACATGCGTCAAAAGCAGAAAAACAGTATTAAAAAAAAAAAAAGTGTGTAAGTACAACCATTATTGTAGGGTTTCTCAGATGTAATATTTTACTGGTACTATTTATTTATAAATAGGAATTCTAATTAAGTAGTAACATGAAACCCAGCCTGGGGGCTGACCAAAACCTTTTAATTTTATTTGGTACTCAAAACTGCGTTTGTGTTTCTCTCTCTCTCTCTCTCTCATGCTTTCCTTTCTTGATTTTTTTAAAAGCAGTTTTGTGTTTTTTCTTTTCTCCTTCCTTCCTTCCTTTTTTTTTTTTTTTTAAATTGACCCTAATAAACAGAACAGGGTAATCTATGTGACTGAGAATGTGGAAGCCTGGAAGCCTGTGAGTGAGTGAGTGTGTTTGCACGTGAGCGTCCTATGTGATCTTGTCTTTTTATGTCGCTAAAGGGGGGGGGGGTAAAAAAATCAAGTACTCGTTTCTTACATTTGTGCGCCCATTAATGCCTAATAAATACGATGTGCTTAAAAGAATACACGAGATGTTGATATCCTTTGTTTGCTTGTTTGTTTGTCTGTGTCTCTGTGTTTTGTTTTGTCTTCTGACTGAATAGAGGGGGATGGCTTTTGTGAAAAGGAATCAAGAAGGCTGGTGGCTGACTTTTTCCTGCCATGCGTTCTGTCCTGCTGACCCTCAGGTATTTCAGACCTACCACTCTCAAGCAGAGTGGAGCAGGAATATATTGTCCATAGGATTAGAACCTTGGGATGCAGCGTCCTAGGACTGAATCTATGTAGGCATTAGGATCAAAGACCTGAAGGAATCCTTCCTGTCTCCTGGTTACCTGACAGAAACAAATTTAGGGAGGAAGGGGTTGATTTCCGTTCAGGGTTCTATCTATGTTTGCTTGCCCCCCACCCCCATGCTGGAGCAGAATATTATCGTGATGGGAATCTGGGTTCATTGTCAGCACGATGACGGCAAGCATGGTGGTGGGGAGGCAGGTATGGTGCTGGAGAGGGAGCTGAGAGTTCTACGCATGGATCATCAGGAAGAGAGTGAGACACTGGGCTTGCCTTGAGTATCTGAGACCTCAAAGCCTACCCTGAGTGACACGCCAACCCCAACATGGCCACACCCACTCCAGTAAGACCACTCCCAGTCCAAAAAGCCACGCCCACTCCAAGAAGGCCACGCCCACTCCAACAAGGCCGCGCCCACTCCAAGAAGGCCACGCCCACTCCAACAAGGCCATCCCCACTCCAACAAGGTCACACCTCTTAATAGTACCACTCTTATGGTCCCATGGTGGGGGGCCATTGTCTTTCAAACTACTACAGAAGCTTAGTGCTGGTAGGGGGCTGGGAACTATCTCAGCAAGGAAAGTGACTGCTACACAAATGTGAGGACCTGCCTCATCACTAGGCAGCATCCATATCAAAAGTCAGATGCAGGATGCACACTTATAATCCCAGTGGTGGGAAGTGGAGACAGAAGGATCCTGGGAGCTGGTTGGCAAGCCCCTCTGAATCAGTGGGCTCCAGGTTCAGCAAGAGACCCTGCCTCAAAAAAAAGTATGGTGGGAAATGATTGGGGAAGATATTCCATGCTGACCTCTGACCTCCGTGGGCACACACATGCATGCATGCCTACAACAAGCACAGGGGCACACGTGAACACGAACACACACACATACACAGACCAAAACAAAAACAGTGTTGTTTGTTTGTTTGTTTTTATCATTTGTTTTTCATGCTGGGGGCTGGAACCCAGGACCTCATGAATATTCACTGTGTGGCAATGAGCCATGCCCCAAGCCTACTGCTGAAACAAACAAGCAAACAAACAAACAAACAAACAAACAAAAAAGCCAAAAATTGATTCCCACACTCTTCAAATGACCAAAAACATCCATGTGTAGCTCACTCACCCCGGAAAAGGAGCAATTGGCGTGCTGATTACATGCTATTCATTTCATCTGGTCTACCGGGTACTTTTCCTGAGCACAGAGTTGTTGAGAAGTGTGAATTAATCATGAAGAAACCCACTTCTCCTACCTACATTAGATAAACCAGTCATTGACTTTCCTGGCCCCTAGGGTCTGAATTAAGACCAGTGATATGTATCTAATCTTAAGCATTAATTTGACAGAAAGTTTGCCTTTGAAGAGATGAGCCCCTAATTCATTCAACCAACTGGACCATCCAAGCACAGGAGACGCATCCTTTACCTGAAATGCTTGGGACCCTGCTTTGGGTATTTGGTTTTGGGGGCAGTTGCCTTTGCATAATGAGGTACCTTGGGTTGTGGGGGTGGGACCCAGGTGCAAACATGAAATTCATTCATGTTTCATGTATGCTTTACATACATAACGTGGAGGTAATGTTGCATACTGTTTTCAGCACATTTCTGTCTTCATTTTAAGCATTACCTGAGCACACGAAGTAGAATCTGCTACTCAGGATGGTGCTCCTGATGTGTCTTAGGGTTTTACTGCTGTGAACAGATACCATGACCAAGGCAACTCTTATAAGGATGACATTTAAGTGGGGCTGGCTTACAGCTTCAGAGGTTCAGTCCATTATCATCAAGGCGGGAACATGGCAGCATCCAGGTGGACATGGTGCAGGAGGAGCTGAGAGTTCTACATCTTCATCTGAAGGCTGTTAGCAGAAGACTCGATATTAGGCAGCTAGGAGGAGGGTCTTAAAGCCCACACCCACAGTGACACACTCACTCTGACAAGGCCACACCCACTCCAAAAGGGCATGCCTACTCCAAAGGCCACGCCCACTCCAAAAGGCCACACCCACCACACCCACTTGAGTAGGCCACACAGCCGTGCCTACTCAACAAGGCCACACCTCCCAATAGTGCCACTCTCTGGGCAGAGCATATACAAACCATCCCATGATGCTTTGGATCTCGGAACATTTTGGGTGACAGATGCTCAGGTTAGGGATGCCCGTCATGGAGAGATTTAATTCCTATCTCCACACCTCAAACACTTGCTGATATCCTAAAATTATTATGGATTTTAATTAAGAGCACTTTCACAAGCTTTATGAGTCTAAAAAAGAAATAAAATTTCATCATCTTTGTACATCAAGGATGGCTACCATGGAGCTTTTCATTGAACCAGCCAATCTGGTGTGTACTATTCAGATGCCACATCTTCTAACTGTGTGTCTGTCAAGGGTACAATGGACATTGATAGATTCTAAATCTGTCTAGTGAGTGCTCGCTCTGATCTGGATTCACTGGAAGTTTTGGGAACCTTGAGACAAATAAGGTGATAGGAACTCAGTACTTCAAAGTGCTTATAACTTAGTGAAATAAAAGGTTTTTAGTCTTGGGGTGCTTTGAATGAAAATGATCCCCATAGGTTCATAGGGAATGGCACTACTTGGGAAGGATTAGGAGGTGTGGCCTTGTTGGAGGACATGTGTCACTGGGGGTGGGCTTTGGGGTTTAAGAAGCTCCAGTCAGGTTCAGAGGCTCTCTCTTTCTCTGCTGCCTGCTGATCCAGATGTACAACCCTCAGTTATCTCTCCAGCTCTACATCTGCCTGCACTCCGCCGTGTTTCCCACCACGGTGATAATGGACTGAACCTCTGAACTGTAAACCAGCTCCCAATTAAGTGCTTTCTACCATAAGAGTTGCTGTGGTCATGGTGTTTCTTCACAGCAATAGAAACGCTAAGAAAGATCGTTGAGCATCATGGATGGGCTGTCGTGCTGGAGAATTATGAAGAAAGAGTTCACAGTGTCATGGAGGGATAGCACAAGGATCAAACCTGGTCTGTGGCGATGTGTGTGAATGAGTGATGGTGGGTGCACATGTGTGA